TATCCGTTTTATATTAATACATTTACCTTCCGAAAAAAAAACATCTCTCCTCTCCAAAGAAATAAGTTTATAGCAGAACATGGAGCTCTTAGGCAAACTAATTTTTTGCCCAAAACTCCCCTCATAAAGCTTTAAAAATCCCAACAGATTCTTCAAAGAATTCTTATTTCCCCTAAAAAAAACTTAGGTATCATCTGCGAACAGCAAATGACTCACCAACATAGTACCTCTACCCAAGTGAAAATGTTTAACCAATCCGTCATTAAAAATTCTCCCGAGTCCTGTGCTTAACACTTCCTCTACCAAAATAAAAAGATAGGAGATAAAGGATCCCCTTGTCTTAAACCTCTAGATGAAGGAAAGAAACCTCTCCCCTTGTGCAAGAGAGACACAATCATCACTGTTTCTTCCCTTAACAAAACCATGCTGCTCAATAGAGATAAGATCAGGTAAATACCTAGACAGCCTCTCAGTCAAAAGCTTTCTAAATATCTTGTAAAGAAAATTGCATAGACTTATGGGCCTAAATTCAAAAAAAGATACGGGATTTACTTTTTTAGGAATTAAAACAAGCAAGGTAGTATTAACAGATCTTGGCATATCACCTCCTCTCAGAAAAAAATTTATTGCCCTCACCAAATCATCCTTTATAAAACTCCAGGCACTTTGAAAGAAACCCCTGACAAATCATCAACACCTAGAGCACTATATCTGGACATAGAGAAAACAATCTATCTGACTTCCTCTTTAGCAGTAGGCTTCACCAATGCAGCGTTTTGTGTATCAAACACCAATCTAGGAATAACAGAGAGTAAATCTTTATCTGAACTATGAAGCTCAGAATTGTATAAAGAAGCATTAAATTCTTCTGCCACTAACCCAATTTCCTCGTCAGACTGTACCCATATACCTGCCCCATTCTAAATTCGACACACCCTATTCCTCATAAACTTTCCTTTGGCCAAGGCATGATAAAATCTTGTATTCCTCTCCCCCTCTACTGCCCATTTTAGGTTGGCCTTTTGTTTTCAGTATATCTCTTCCAAATGAAGTATATCATCTAGCTTTTCCTGCATAGTTTCAAGCTTCACAAGGTTTTCAGCAGATGCCAAAAGCTCAATCCCATCTCAGCATTTGATAATTCAACCTCCTTCCTCCTTATTTTTTCAAAAATATTGCCAAAAGTCTCTAGATTCCATCTTTTAATATGACATTTCAAATATTTCAGTTTCAAAAACAAATTCTCAATGGGATTTATAGAATAAAAACCAGACCAATTCAAAGCCACCAAATGTAAAAAACCTTTATCTTTTAACCACATATTTTGAAATTTAAAATAAGAAATTCGACCCTGTTTGGTCAAAACTTTAACAATAATTGGGGAGTGATTAGACTTTCCCCTTGCAAAATGTAGAATTTCAGTTTTACCCACTATCTCCCCCCACCGAGAATTCAATAGAGCCCTGTCAATCCTCTACCACATCCTCGCATTACCTTGACAGTTGTCATACCAAGTAAATCTGCTCCCCAAAAAAACCCCATCCAATAGTCCAGCATTCAACATAAAATCATTGACTTCCCCCATAGAATTCATAGAGGGATGAGCTCCAGCTAATCTCTCCTCAGAACACAAAATCGCATTAAAGTCGCCTACCACCATCCAAGCCACATTTACATGAAGAGATATTTGTAACAAATGCTCCCACAAAGGTCTTCTTAGAACATAGTCACAGGCAGCATACACAAAAGACACAATAACCCCCATAGATCCCAAATAGGAATCTCCATAATTATTGCCTGAATATGTTCAAATAAAATCTTAACGTCTAAACAATCATCCCATAAAAGCCATATGTGCTTCTCTGCCAATTTGTTTACAACAAAGTTTGACATACCAACATTAGAAGCAAATCTCTGGATCTTATCAGCACCTACCTTAGGCTCTAAAATAGCAACAAAAGGCACACTATGAATTCTTACCAATTTCTTGAATCGTCTTCTCTGAGCAATCTTGTTTGTCCCCCTCATATTCCAAACAATCAAATTAAACATCGAAAACAAAACACAAGTTCACTAGTATCAAACCTACGCAACACTGACACCTCCTCAGGACAAACAATCCTAAACCTTGCATCTTACATGTTAGAAGATTAAACACGTAAAGAAGCAACAACACTTCCCCTTTCTCCCAGCCTGATCTCCACCTATGCAGAGGAAAACTTCACCGAGGCTGAATACTAATCCTCTTTCATCATCAAGAGAAATGGAAGCATCACTTTTAGACTTGGTAAATCTTTCCAAATAAAATGAGGCTTTAGAAGGAGAAAACTACTTATTAAAAACACAATGTTCAATTTCTCCAACTACATTTCTAAATCCACCATCTTAACAACCCCTCTGTCCATATCCCATACTCAAATCTCCTACTAGGGGCCAAACCCCTATTAATATTCTGATTACCATCTATAGAACCAGTTTGAATGTTAATCATGTATTTATTTATTAGTTATGTTAGTTATGTATTTGTTCATTAATTTTTTTTCTTGAGATTTTGATATTTTGATTTTGTACCCTAGATATACTTCATGACATCATCTCAAAATTCTCAATTTTCAAACTCATCCAGTTGGGGACATAATGCTAATGTTAAAGAATGTTACTGTGGAATGAAGTCTCTTATGAAAACATCATGGACACAAGATGATATGGGTAGGAGGTTTTACGGATATGTACTATATGGGGTATCAATTCAGTGTTGAAATTTAGTTTAATAATTGTATAAAATTACTAATAGTCAATGGAAATTTGTCTCATTCAGGTTAGGCCCCCTTGCAGATTCTGTGAGTGGATTGACCCTCCGATGTACCAAAGAAGCAGAGACTTGACACCCAAGATGACAACTAAAATTGGGAGTTTCAAAATGGATCAATAAAAATTAGTCACAAGACTTAGATTGTATCAATGTGCATTGTTTGAAAGCTGGTGGGATTTGGGTTAATTTTGTACATGAACTTTGTTCATAATATGAACAAGTAATTGTATGAAAATTATGAATGATATGAATTATGAAGTTTGTTGTTGTTTCAACTAGTTTCATTTCATACATGAATGAATGATAGAGATGCTTAAATAATAATTTCATATCACAACCAATATAGTTCATTAAAAAAAAGTCACATAACCATGGAGTTACAAAAAGGATTCACATAGCCATTGAGTTACAAAAAGAAGTTCAAACCAAGTTGCAATATAGGGCCATAGCAACAAGTTACAAAAAATTAACAAAAGATGAAACTGGTTTTCCCCTTTTTAGCTCTAAATATTTTCCTTCCCTTTTAGGCTACCGGTTGCATGTTTCTTTCCACTGCCCAGAAGAATTCCTCTCCCTCTCTTTCTAATTTCAGTAGAAGTGACATGTTCTTGCCTCCCAATGGTACCTGTTGTAGAACCAATCCCCTGCCAGTAGAATCACATCTCTTAAGAATCCCATGTTAGGACCATCCCCTCTCCTAGCCACTGCTCCAATAGAAACAACCCCTTTCTAGCTAAAATAATTCCCCTTCTTTTACCTCTTTTTGGTGGTACCTTCATTCTTCGTGGAGGTGTTGGATCAACCCAATGTATCCCTCTTGTTCCATGAGATGACTGCACATAAATCAAGATTCAAAATACAATTGGTTATTGCATGGGGAAATGCATGAGCTAGAATCACGAACCTGTGATGAAGATGCTTATTTATCACCAATAAGGTGAAATGCATGAGCTGGAATCACTGGATTTGGTTGGGATGCACTTCTTGGATGTTTATTAGCTGTACTTGACTAATCTCCACTTGGGTTGGGATCCGCTCCTTAGTGCTTCTTAAACAATCTAGAATTCGGATGTATTGGCCCCTTGCAAGATCTGAGATTATGACCCCTTTGTAGGCATCTTGCACACGTATTTCCTTGTACTTTTTTGATACCTTATTACAGTTTTGCACTTCATCTACTACCTTCTTTCTTTGTTTCTTGGCCTCCCTAGTGCTTTTCTATACAATGGGAGGCAACTGGATCTATGGTACTTTTCACCCAATCATGTTGGCCTGTGACTGAATGAATCATGTTGCAATAAGTCCTAAGATATACCTATAGCTGCTATTAATTGTCACCCATAAACACCTTTTAGGAAACATCCATCCAACTCAATTATAGGTCTACATCCTAACAAAAACCTAGTCTTCAGTGCCTCAAACCTGTCATAGAGTCTTTAAAATATTGGGGGGCAACTCAATTGATGACCTAATAGTAGTGACAAAAATCTTTGAATTTGAATTGTACTTCAACACAATTTCACAATAATCCCTCAACTTGGTCTACTACATTTTCACATCACCATCAATGTTATCTACTACTCTCTTTTTTTTGACTTTTTATAACTTGTTTCTTGCAAGATTAGATTTCAACTAATTCCTTAATTGCTTTTGCATTGTTGGGACTTTCTAGGTGGGGTCATCTCTCAATTTTTACTGGTATTCTTTTGAGATAAAAGTAGAAGTGACCAAATGTGTTCTAAAATCTTATCCCAAATGTGTGTTTGGGCTGAAAACTCTTGATCTGAAAGGTTAATTGACCTTGCATTGGGGATGCAAGTATCCTGAACCCACAATCATACATGCACATTGTTGTGATCCTCCTATTTTCATTTTTCTTGTACTTCATGTCATAGGCTTGCAGAATACTCCACTTGTTCAATGCTTTTCTAAAGACCTAAGGGTTAGGAAATTTCATGCCTAGCTTCAGATGAGAATTAGTCGTGCCAGTTTCTTAATTGAACTCAGGGAATCCAACACTTCTATTTTCATCAGTTAAGGAGTCATTTAAACTGTAAAGGTAATCATCCTTCTCAAGATCAGAGTATCATTTATCATCAACTGGTACTCTATGCCTGTTATTCCTTACACCAAACTTCTTTTGTTGAGCATCATCTCCTTCTTCTTCATTATTTTGTTGTTGACTCTTTCAAAATATGTCATCATCTTTTGGCTTCTTAATCTCTTCCTCCCTTAGTTCATCAGGATCCTCTGAATCCAAACTAACTTGGTCACTGTCCTCTCCATCATCAATCTCATCTATATCCTCATCAAAATAATCTTCGTCCACATTTTTATCATTTTCCTCTATAAAGGAGTAATCACTAACACCTACAATGGTTCAATAATCACATGGACAGGAATCACTCTTGAGGATCTATAGAAAATCAACAAATCCCCCACCTCTTTGTCAAACACAATCTCAAATAGCCCCTTATCAAAATCACATTTTGGCACCCTATAAAACAACCACATTCTTCAAGAATATCCTAAATTATTGTAGACCCCTTTCAACTCAAAAAGCGATAACAAATCAAAATCATAGTTATCCAGTTCATCCACCTTTCCCCTAACATAATGCCTATTTGGAGGTTGCCTAAAATATCCATCATGGAATACACGAATGGTGACTTTATCTGACATATCCTCTTGTATGGGTTATAGTATATAATAAAAAAAAAGTTATTTATTCATGTTGACCATATTGGCATTCACACATACCATGCATGCACAAAAAATTTGAAGAAAACAAGAAAAACATTCGCACAATGTCACACAATACAAAACAACAAAATTCCCAATGCCAAAATCAAAACAATCAAAATCACTAGCAACATGTCACACACTTTAATCTGTTCGATTTACCAAATTTAAAGCAAAAAATTGAGATTTGGGTTACAATATACTAACCTTGTTCCTCTGATCTAACTTTTGAACTTATCTTCCACAATCTTTACTTGTTCTTCCACAACATCAACAAATAAGCTTAAAGACTCACGATTTAATAGAGTTGTTAATAAAGTAGTAGGTAGAGACAGCGTCAGATTGAGAGAGAGGGAGATAGAACGAGAAAGAGAGAGAGGGAAAGAGAGATCAAGTTCTTCATTCTTTTGGGGGTTAGTTAATTTATTAATACTAACAATGCACAATGTGCGTCACACGTAAATAAATTTAAATAATAATTTTTTATAGAAAATGTGAATTATTTGTAAATTTAAATGATAATTTTTTTATATGTGCAATTTTCTATATCAACTTGTTTTGACTGTGAAATTTCATTTAATAACTTCATGTGTATAATAATTTAACATATATAGAATTTTACTTTTTCATATAGATATAGAAAATTGTATATAACCATACTGCTAATAAATGGGTTCAAAAAAATTTAGAAGTCTTTATAAAAGAGTCCAAAACAAGTTGAAAGTCAAATAGAATAAAAAATAAAAATTAGTTGAAAGAATATAGGTGAGTATAATTGATTTTATTATAATAATTAGGGATAAAATAAAAAATCAAATATTTTTCACAGATGTAGACATTTATAAGTAGTATAGATAAGGGTAATTTAGTATTTTGCCAGTATCTATGACGACAAGTTAGATTAGCAGTTTGTTTTTGAAGTTGAAGAGAGTTAAGTGAAATCCGTAAAAGTAGCGGAGGGGAAGTGTGATCAAGGCTTAGTACATGGGGCTTTTTTTTTTACCCTAGATTTAAATGTGAAGTTGACAAATTGTTATCATTTTGCTTTTGTTTGGAGGATCAGATTGATTTTCTCTCGTGCACATATGTATGCTTGTGGGGAGGGGGAGATAACACGATGTGTGCATGCATGAAAGATAATTTAAATAAAATTGTTACGGAGAAAATAAAAAATGGATAATACCGAATTCAAATAAAACCATTATAGAGAAAATAAAAGGATATTGTCAAATTCTTAGGAGCTTTGACTACGAAAGGACTTCCCATGATAGTTTTAGTTGTATTGAATTGATATTTTGTACTTTGAAATTCACTGTCTTGATTCTACCTTACTAAAACGTCCAATTTAAAATTAGTTGTCACATAATGAAATGGCCCTATACTAGTTTGGGAGATTATTATACTTGTGTGACATAAGTTCCAATTGTACCACGTGTGCCATCTCCACTAGTAAGTGGAGAGGGAGATAGATGATCCAATAGGCACATTAAACATAAGAAGGTCATGAATAGAAGTGAGATAGATTACAGGTTAGATGAAATTAAAATCAAGAGACTCGCCATTAGTATCTCAAAGTCCAACTCCTACACCCTATCACAACATCTAATTAAAAATCGATTGACAATAAGTGAAAACTCATAAGGTTCACGTAGTGGATTGAGAAGCATTATTATAGAGCAAAGTATAAAAATTTCCTACCCATATGATATTAGTTGATTTTGAAAAAATAGGTAGAAGAACCATAATAAAAAAATATCAAGGTGTACTTATGAAAATAAATGTAGGGAGAACCAATTATTAATCAAGAAAAGCAAAATAGGGAGACCTAAACAAAACTTCTAGTCACCCAACTCTACTAACATTGGCATAAAAAATGGTGCAATGTTACATAAACTTTATTTAGTGACCTTATTTGGTGATCTTATTATTTTATGTCATTAGATTGACAGTGGATCTCATTATTAGTTGGGACTCACTATCAATTCATTGACTATGCTCTATCATATCACAAAATAAGGTCACAAAATTAAGTATGAGTAACAATTCTCTAAAACTGTGGAGAAACAAGGGGTGACACAAGAAACAATTGAAGGAATACGAAAACTCACGACCCAAAAGAACCCACCTATGAGATAAGAGCTAAGGCAAAATGGGTACACTTTGTTTGTACATAAAATATTAAATTTCAGAAATATTTTTCGTATCGATAGTTGGTACTCTGGATACACTAAGGAAGTGTCACGTGGTAGAATATGAAGAAAGGTGGAAAACGATCTACCACAACCATGTTTGAAAAGGAAGAACAACCAATTAGAAGTTACCGGCCGGTAACCGTCAATGGGAACAAAATCCTCAAAGATAATGGTTATAAAAAGGGTATTTAGTGGAAAAGATAGGATACACTCAAATCCCCATAAGACCCGCTATCTAGACATTTTTAGGAGTATTTTTAGAGTAGTTTTTAGGAGGCAGTTATTGCTGCAATCAAGACTGTTTATTCAGTCTTTTTATAATTGAAGTCTCTTCGATTGAATTAATAAATGAATCCCTTTTTACTAGTTCCTTGTACTTTGTGTTTATTCATTATTTCTCATCTAGTGAAGTCTTGAAATAAGACATTCAACCCCTTATAAACAGGCACTTGAAAACTGTCTGTCTATTGAAATATCTTCGATCCCAACAGATTTTGGTGCAACAATCTTTTGGCACACCTGATGGGACAACATTACTAAAATGGTTCAAGTGAGGAAGCAAGATGAAATTGTATTTGACACTAATGAGACTGTGGAAATGACCCCAAACAGTGGCAATGATGCAAGTTCAAGTACCAACGCTATAGAGTCTGCAAATCCAAAAAATAGCAAATCCAGTGGGTAGGATAATTTGTAAATACAAGAATTTGTGCAAAACCTAAAGCAATTATTGCATAATCCTAATTCTATCATTAGACAAAACTTAGTTAATGTCATATATGAATTAATGAATGTCCATACACCAATGTTAGGGCTAGTTACTCAAAAATCAATTACCGTCATTAGAAATCAAACAGTAGAAAAAGGAAACACCAGTCCTGTGGTGTTTTCTATAGAAAATTAGAGACCACCACTAATGATAACGAACGAGAAACCAGGCCCACCACACCAAAATTATTTCAATATGATGTTTGATGGGGAACCTGTTGAAATATTTCCTAATTTTTTTTCCCCATGAAGAAATCCTAAGGGTATAAATGGGTCAAGTATGACCCTTGAATTTCCTAGAAGAGAGTCATGCAAGGCATGCTATGCCTCCACTAGAATCCATAGAGGAATTCAACCCAGGGGTAGGGGAAATCATTTGACGAATTTGAAAACTTAGAAGGCCACCAAAAATGGCTTTGGCTTCTAATTGGAATCAACTAGTAGAGATGATTCAAAATTTTTATGGTCCTGGCCTTAGAAAAATGAAAAGTCTGTGTTTACGAAACTATATCCACTATGAGTTGATTATGGGGAAGTCCTAAGGGGATATAAAACCCCAAAATTTCACCTTTACTTCAATGAAGAAAATCAATCGACCATAGAGTACATAGGCAAATTCACTTTCCAATATGGGGAAGTTGGAAATAATGGGAATTTTAAAATAAAATTATTCTCACAATCTTTAATAAAGACAGCCTTTGCATGATTCATTAATTTGTTAGTCAATTTAATTCAAACTTGGCAAGAAAAAAAAGAATAGTTTCATGCTCAATTCTTTAAGAATGAACTAGAGGTTTTGATGACAGATTTGTAAAGATTAAGGTATAAATTAAACAAATTTGCAAAAAAAATTATTGATAGATTCAAAAATGGCAAAAATAAATGTCATGCTTATTTTTCTGAAATTGAATTGGTTAAACTGGCCTAAAATAGTTTGGACTTCAAATTCGGAAAGAAATTCAAAGGAATGGAGTTCCGAGATCTCTTTGAACTCTCAGTCAGGGCCACTAGATATGAGAAGTTGCTTGGGAAAGAGCAACAGACGAAAAATAATTCACTAACAACTTATTTCCAAGACTTTGATAGAGAAGTTGAAATAGATGTGGCAAAGATCATAGGAAAATCAGCAATTATGTGTGACATCTTGAAAGAGAATGAGGATCCTATGAACATGTCATCCAGCCATCCAAGAAGGATATACCCTCAACCTATTAATAGTATTTCTTTGATCTATCGGTGGCTGATGCTCTGTCTGATGAATTAATCAACCAAAAATTCATTGTCATGTCTCAAGGACATAATATCCCACCAAAAATGATTGAAAGGGAAAAGAATATTGTAATAACTTAATTCATTTAAGCATTCAACTAAGAACTACATTACTTTTTTGAATTTTGTGCAGGATTTAATCCAAAAAGGAATGCTTATGTATGCTTCAAAAGAAGAAGAAACCATGAGTGTGGACAAAGATCATTTTCCTAAAGAGGTTAATATTGATATGGTTTCTGCTAATAAGATCATTTTCCTAAAGAGGTTAATATTGATATGGTTTCTGCTAATTTGCAAGAAAACAATAAGGTTGTTAGTTTTGTAGTTGGCAAAGAAAGGATTGTTCCCAAAATGAGGAAACTAGTCCATAGTAGACGTAGTCCTAGGTAGGAAGAGCCATTGGTTATGTGTTTCAAGTGTGCCAATGACCAAGCCAAATGCTATACCACTAGATGATGTGGTAAGAGAATTTATAGACAAAAGTATCCATTTCAGCACTAGAGGAGAAGGAGATGTACAAATCTACAATGGCTTTGACAAAATATTTGATGGTGGAGAACTAGGCATTTTCAAATTGCAAGAAATGTACCAATATAGGCTTGGTCCTTATTATTTTCTTGAAACTCACGACACCCCATGAAAAACTAATTACCAAGGCCAAACCAAGAAGGAAAGGATGCAAAGGACGAACCATTTTGTTGGACCATCGATGGACAAGGAGAGTGTTTGGCAAAAAAATTAGAAGACAAGAATAACAAGAAAGAAAAAACCAAAAAAGAAAATGGAGGTTTGAGAT